CATTACCTACAGAACAGAACAACAGGAAAATATAAAGCCAAGTAGCATAGATGATATCTACACAGCACGTATACATCAACAAGAAAAACCACACGGCAAGGCAGAATTAGGATCGCAAGCCATACCACCAATATTATGAGTCCCAGTTGCACCAAAAGCAATGTAAAAGTATTACCAAGAATCCAATTCTCCAAGTAAAAACTTGCATTATCTTCACTACAGATCCGAGTTCTCCAGTCAGAAAAATAGAAATTTCACCCTATTTAAAGAAAGCCCATCTAGGGCTAAGAAGTGAGGTTTCTACACTTCCCATTATGATTTCCTTCACAGAAGAGATTGCTTAAACAAACAAGTCGAACCCATTACATCCAAAAAAAGGACAACTGAATCAACAAAATTGCGACCCTCAACGAGAAGAACCAATTATACCAAACCCCAAAGTGTCAACATCTAATAAGACTTTTTATTTTGGTTTTAGAATTTCCAGAACACGAAAAGACTCATTAATCCAAATGTCCATCTTGACGCTGAAGACATTCCCAACCATCCCATTTCAATTCCTTGAATCAAATTGCACCTTTAAACCAAAAGATAAAGGAAGAGAAGATAAAAAAAGAAACCTGCCCTAGAATTATTGTCCCTCACAACCATCTCCCATGATGTTACAAATGCTTTTATATAGTAAACCTTTAAATGTATCCTTCTCAGTTCTCCAACTCATTGGAAAACTATTCTAACCAGGCCCCCTGATTTAATCAATGATCTTTCAATTCTAAGCCATCTCAAGTAGGAAAAAAAAAACTCACTTTAAAAAAGAGAATTTTCTTCTTTGTTTTATATAAGTCTCGCTGAGAATATTCACCTTAAAAAACATGAAGTTTGGCAACCAATTAATCTTCCTCCAATACAAACTTGTAAGCTCCAGCTTTATAAAGATCTAATATTCTAGCATTTTCCAGCCAGCAGATTTATATTTCAGCCCCTGTTTATTGACAAAACTCCAAGAACAAGGCTCTGACCATTCAAAAATTCTAACAAAAAATGATTGCTTTGTATTACCACTAGTTTTGTGAGTTTGATTTGAGATGAAGGGGAAAAGAAAGACTAAGAAAACAAAAAAGAATAAGGAAATTAAGTATTTGCTTCGTATTACCAATAGTTTGGTGAGTTTGATGTGAGATAAAGGGGAAAAGAAAGACTAAGAAAACAAAAAAAGAATCAGGAAATTATGTATGTGTTTCAAGACCTATAAGGCTAAGACCAATTCAGGAAAGTCCCAAACAACTACATAAGAACTCTTTCAGTAGTCATCACCATTTCTTCAACAAATCGAGCTTTTCAAGCATAAAGCATTTTCTTTGAAATTGTAAAACCCTGGTTTCTTCGGAAAAGACCATGAGAAACAACCGAGACTGGAATGAAGTCTACTAAGGTAATTTACATGGTGCACCAAACGACAGAAAACCTATGACACGTCCACCAAATTCTGATGTGGGCCAGCAGGGGTCAAAGATACGCTTACCACTTCACTGGTGCACCCAAACTCACTATTACAAATCTAAACCTAACAAACTGATTGATGACCTGTCAGGACACGAAAATACCAACCATGAAGCCAACCAAAGGCTCACTGTCATTTCAGGCCAGACCAAATATTTGACTCCCAAGCATCCCCTTTAAAGGGAAAATGGGCAAATGCATTTAGAATTTTTATTTAGACACTACTGAAAAATTGCTACTTACACTGAATTTTGATAAAGCAGTGATCCCATAGGGCCACACCAAACACAATCACAAACAACTGATCACCTGATTCATTTCTGACTAGCCACTTTCAGACATCTCAACAAGCCGCCATAACATCTATTATCCCAAGCATTTTAGCTCCATTCTGTATCGCAACATTACCACCAACTACTCCTTTAAAAAGATTCCTGAGACCTAGTTCAATTTCAATACTTTGTATCTTGGGAAGAAACGACCCATAACTAGTGTTCTCCTTCTTATTCTAGATAAGTAGTAATTATATCTTGGCCTGATTCTAGATCAATGCACAAAAAACCCAAATGATAAAGAAAGATAAAAACGAAGATTAAACAATAATTAAAAAACCAGCATTAGTAGATTTTGATTACCTGGAGCTATGTGCTCAAATGCTTCAGAATCGTATGTAAGAACTTCATTATAAAGGTCCAGAGAACCCACATAGCCATAAGGTTGAGGACTTGCCTCAGCTCTAAGATTCCTGCACATAACGCCTGGTCAGTCCAAAAGCACAGCACCCACATAAATATCACATACTACATGAGTTTACATCTCATCGATCCACAACTTAGGTGGGGTAAGAGTGCACTTGGCCATCTGATGGGCTAGGTCCCAAGAGTTTGGGAGATGTAATCCCTAGTCCCCTGGATTCTGGATAATTGGTCACAATCTTGCCGGAAGCCATTTTTTCCACCCTGTTTTGTTTCTCTTACATGCATCAACACATTTTCAGACTATTTGAAATTCCATTTTACCCACAATATGATGAACCGTGTTTTTAGTACTACTTGCATGAAATCCAGCGTCACAATAATTCACGGCGTTCAACTCTTACAAAGCCATGAAGGACAAAAAAACATTACTCTAAAATGAGACTAATGAAGACCTTGTGCGAGGGCGCCATTGTGCTTTGGTATGCTGACATATGGACTTCCAAACAAAGTTTCAAACGTTTAGCATCAAAACTCAGCCCTTTCTTCAAAAATCTCAACAATAGAAACAAAAAAAAAATACAGTTCTCTCTTCCCAAAATATATGTTTCCACACTAAATAAAGTAACAAATATTATAGTGACAAAGCCTATGGCTCAAAGCATAACTGCAAGTGAAGTACATTTCAAGCTAAATTCAAAAATTAAACAGAAAAAATCAACAGAAAAAAACTCACAAGTAAGAAACATCAGTGTTCCGTAGCAGATCAGCTATTCTGCTAGCTTGATTAACAACATCATTCCGATTCAACGATCTCGAACTGCTATGCTCATCGAACAAGTGGAGCACCTCATCAAGCGCACCACAAAACACCGGCAGAGACGGCAACGGCAAGCACGGCGCGACCTCCGAATGGACTGTGTTGGAAAGGCTTATGCCCCGGGGAATTCCACCACTTGGATTCAACATCGGTCAATTAATCACAGGCACACCGATACACAGTTCGTATGTGTAGGTGAACACTCATTTCAGACCTGACATGCGGAGATTTAGGTTTGAATTAGGGTTTCTAGAGAGGGAAAGTGGAGTTGAATATGGAGCAGGTATTAAGCCCTAGAGAGAGAAAGGGGGAGGTAAGAGAAGCAAATGGCGGGGAATCCGTATAGAAAAATTTGGGGACTTTACCCTGTGAGTTGGAGAAGACTGTACTTGGGCGGTTGGGTTTTATATGTGCAGTGGAAAATGAGTCCAACTTATGCAATGACGTGAATACCCTTGGCTCCGCTGTCTGTACGCTGTCAAAACGCTGTCGTATGAGTACGTGTAAGCTTGTAGGAGAAGCTTCAATATTTTCTTACATTTTCCGGGCGAACAGGATGGATTAAAATTTTGTTTTTGAAATTGCTGAAACGTTTTTTATTTCTAATAAAACTAAAACGAATTAGTAATTTAATTGAATTCTTAATATTTTGAGATATCAATATATTTTAAACAAAATATTATGCATCTCAAATGAATAGAGACCCTACGATGAGTAGGTTTAATTGAAAAAAATTAATGAGATTTAAGACTCCTAATCAAATTGAGTTTTGCAAATTTGAGACGAGTTTTTTGAATATTTTTTTAAATAAGTTTAAAAAATTATTCAAACTCAATTCATTTATAAAATAAGTCGAACCCGAATAGCTCAACTTTTTAATGTATAAACAAGACTAAAAAATTATACAAGCTTAGCTCGTAACTCGAATCAAGTCATATTGGAGTTGAAACCGATTAATTTAACTCAATTATCAGCCCTAACGAAACCTATTAATCTAAGAATCAACATTGATTTAGGATCACTAGTATTCGTCGTGGTTTAATATATTAGGACTAATAATGTTTTAAAATATTTTGAGAATAAAATTTTATATATTTATTTATTTTTATTATATTTTAAAAATATTTTCACGTATATACCTAGTCAAAAGTTTATGACATTTATACCCAAAAAAAAAAAGGGTAAGCTTAAGTTGCAAGTAAAGACAAATTTTCTTTAAGTTGCGGTTTGGGACGTCGGTTTTGCATGTATACGGGCTCTCTTCTTATGTTTTTTTTTTCTTTCTGGTGGATTGAGAAGGTGAGGAATTCCTCGAAAAATGGATTGTGTTTGGCATAACTTTTCATGATAAAAGTGCATCTTATGGATGGACTTTAAAAAAACTCTAGATGTTTGGTATATGTTCATTTTGAAAGTGCTTCTAACCCAAAAGGGCATCTATATTTATGTGAGAGTATATTTGGAGCCGGAATTTTTGAAGTGTAAAATGTCATTGTGTTATTTTTTACCTTTTCATACTCTTATTTATTTATCTTTAAATTAAAATTTAATAATAACGTGTTTGAATAATAATCGAATTAATTTATTGAGTCACTAAATAATAAACCTATACTGAACTCGGTTATAAACAATTTAAGCATCACAATAATTCAACTTTGTACTAATTGAATTATACACCAAGCAAATTTAATATCACTGGGCAACACCGACACCGTTGTTGAAGCCCCTTAAACAATAAACGACATAATGTCCGGTCTATGTTATACATTGTCTTATAACGGAGGAAATTGAAGTTCATAATCCAAGTTCATGAACTTTGTTATCAACAATAAACGACATAATGTCTAGTCTATGTTCTACATTGTCTTATAACGGAGGAAATCAAAGTTCATAACGAAGTTCATGAGGCCTGGACATAATGTTCCACAACCACAAGCACATTTAAAATTGAAACAATAAAAGAATTCTTTCACCAGATAACAAGTATGCTATGCCGACAAATGTAAGTAGCAAAAAGTCAAATGTAAGTAACACATTACAGCAACTAAATTTTGTAAAATCTTATAAACTCGTCGTTTGGACTAAAGATCTACTGATCGAAAATGAATTAACAAGGAAAACCTATGTCCTTTTCGAGGGAATTCATGTAGCTGACATGGAAAAAAGCACTAGTTACAACAAACCGCTATTGATAATACTCTATGAATCTGAGCCATCTTTGTAGTGTCTTGCATCGTCTCCTTCATCTGTACTGTCATCACTTGATGTGCTTTCTGAAATGTCGGTTTGCTCAAACATGATTGGGTCCTCTGCTTCAAAAACTTTACACAATACAATATTTGATATCTGAAGGGGAAAAAATAAAAACATAGTTAGGAAGTTGCCAACTAATCTTTACGCTGCATCCATTACAAGAATTAGGGTATTTTGTGACATCTGTGTTTCCCGTCACAAAAAAACATGTTTTTGAAGAAAAAAAGTTTTTGTGGTTGTTGTGTTGTCACAAAAGATTTATTTGTTATCACGTATACTATTTAAGACGACTTGTTGCCGGCATAAAGACTTTTTGAAACTCAACTTATTATGCACGGCCATTGCAGCGGCATTGGCCGCCATAATAAGTAGAGTCTCAAAAAGTCTTTATGACGGCAACGAGTCGTCTCAAATAGTATTTGTGACGGCAACAAGTCGTCTCAAATAGTATTTGTAGCAGCAAATAACTTTTTTACGACAACACTATTACCAGAAAAAACAAATTTTCTTCAAAACACAATTTTTTGTGACAGTAAACACAGCTGCCACAAAAAACTTGTGTCAAAAGGTCCTAATTCATGTAGTGATATGACACAAGGTAAAGGATGAGTTTATCTTATGAGATTTAAAAACCACAATTTTTGCTCACACTTTGTACACTATAACCAAGTACTTCAAACCTGATACCCAACTGTTATTTCAAAGAGAGAGAGAGGGGATCCTATACACCTGTTGAATTTTCTTTTTGTGGAGGTAATCACTCTAGTTGCAGGGAGATTAAAGCTTCAATAGTATTAGGTTGAGATTTAAGAATGTAGTCAGTATGTGTGGAGATGAAAAAAGATCACCTTCTCTTTTGTATTTTCATCAAGTTCGCTAGCTGTAAACACATTGGTGTGCGCTCTATATTCGCTGATCATCCAACAAGTCTTTGTCCATGATCCTAGGTTTCCACGATAAAAAACAAGCTTTCGCTTGAAACCAATAACTTTGGAATGAGAAACAATTATGTCATCCAAGAAAGAACTCCAATAACCATCCTTCGTGAAAACATCATGTTTCGGCTTAGTGCTGTAAAAATACCACCTTATCCCGTTCCCGTACTTAAACTCACCTGCACATAATTGACAAAATTACAATCATACAAAATTACTATTTGTGCTCAAACTAGCTGAACCTCCCCCCCCCCCAAAAAAAAAAAAAAAAAATCTGCAACGTTAGAACAATAAAATGGCAAAAATGAAAGCCAAATACTGTTTAAAATTAGATAAATATGATTCCAAACAATATTATCTGACATAAGCATTTAGTGTAGCATAATTTGAAGTAATAGAGAACATGACATGAATGAACAATTTCTGAATCAGTCAATTTTTGAATGCTGCTAGTGCATATTTTCCCATTATTTTCATTTATTATCAAGTCTTGAAATAATAGTTGGATAGCCTTGACGATTGCATCTTCAATAGTTCAGGGATACTATAGTGTTCTAAATATGTAATTTTTTTTTCCATTTTTCCTTTTAAATAATGGACATGAGTTGTACTTGAAAACTTTTTTTTTTTTTTTTTCTGAAGGAGATTTCACTTGATGTGTGCCCTTGCATTGTTGGACTTTTGATGTTAAAATAATGAAATGAGAGATAGTAAGTTGCACGTGTAAGTTGGATCATCAGATAATGATGGAAGTCTATTTTCAAAAGCACTGATGAGAGAACTTGGAAAGATAAAGTGCTGCATTCTAATAGTGATTTGTTCAATTTTAGGATGGCGAGCCAGATTAAGGAGGATCTTATTCACGATATTTGATTTGAGAGTCAAAATCAGTGGCTTTCTGGTTATGGGTTGACCAATTCTAGCCTTTATTGAGTAAAGGAATGACAATTTAGATGGGTTAAAAACCATTGATTTTTAGTGTTGAAAAACTTGGAATGGTTTTAATTCGTAAAAGATGGTTTGGATCTCATACAACTTATCTTTAAGGACTTTGATTCTTTCATCTATTTTGTCAAAGGTAGTAACGTTCTAACTTTTCAGTGCGATCCTATGATTTACTTTTCAAAGGTACTTGTGAATGCTGTTTTGGGTCTCTGTGAAAGTCCATGGCCTTTGCTGCATATATTAGGAAGATTGTGTATTTGTTAAGGGGTGTGGAATTTCAGATTAGTCATGTTTATAGAGAAGCAAATACTGTTGCCGACAGGTTAGTTAATCAGGCAGTTAAAGGAGGGAGATCCTATGATTTTTCTGAGGATTTGCAGTTGCCTTGTGAGGTAAAGCTGGCTCTGCCGGGTGATTTGAGGGGTTTTCCTATGCCGAGGAAGAGTAAGACTTTGGTTTTTGATGATATGGGCTAATGGGTTTTGTTCTTATTTTTCTGTAGTGTTGCTGTGGTGGTTTAGGGGTGACAGTCTTCTGGAAGGTTTTTTCGGTGTGGTTTTGCTGCCGTAAGAGGTTGGGGTGTTCTCGAAGCTTTCTATGCTTTGGTGCCTTTTAGAGCTGTTGAGGAGTTTTTTATTTGGTGTCTTTTGCTTTGTTTTTTGTTGAGGAAAGGTGTCTTGTGCCTTTTCCTCAGTTTTGTTTCTTGTAATGCTTTTGCATTTGTGAATAAATAAAATTTTGTTTAAAAAAAAAAAACTTTTAAGTGCAATCTATTTTTCTACGTGCCTCAACTCTTGTGAACTTGAATTCCCCGCCCCATGTGTATAAGTGTAATTTTGATTGTGGCCCATATATTCTAAAGGACAAACCTGTTAAGTTCATTATCACTTGGCATGCCACCTTAGCCATCAAAAGGGATCTTAATGCCATGCTCTAAGTAACTGAGACTCTGTTTTTCTTGTTTATGTTGGAGATGAATTGAGACTTATTTAGGATTTGATTATTCCAAGAACCTT